ACATAAATTTTGAAACTCGTTTTTAATTTTTATGCCATCAAGACATCATTGTCTTGTAAATTAATGTCCAAAATGCATAAAACATTTTTAGATTTTGGTTGAAAGTTGTGACAATATATAATATCACAATATTGTTTCAAAACATGAACTTTGAAACTTGTTTTTATGCCAAGACATTTTTTTCTTGTAAATGAATGTCTAAAAGGCATAAAATATTTGGTGAATATATACAAATAGCTTTCAAATAAGGGATTCATCTATCAAAGACTCGAGCTGACTGATGTGTGAAATCTGAGGCAGATTATGTACATGTATTCATATTTGGCAGCTCTGGCTGTTTGAGAAAGAAAAGTGTTTCACAGAGGGTTTATTTGCATTTTTAGAGTATTAAAAAGTTGAGCCAAACTGTTTATGACCACACTGTGTGGAAACACTGATCAGTTGGAAATAAGAAAGAGCTGCTGTGAGCTCCACGGTTAAAATTGCCTGCAGGCAGGGTGTGTGCGTGTGCGTCCGCATGTTTGTTGCAGGTGAGGGTTGAGAGAAATTCAGTTCTTCGTAATGATGACTGATGTTGCTGGAAGCTTTGTTGTCCTGACATAAACATGCTAATAGAGCACAAAAATAAAAAGCAAAAGTAAATTGTTAATATGTTAATAAAAATATCTAAAAAGATTTTTTAAAAAAATTAAATATTTATAATTATAATATATTTGATATGGCATCACAGTGGCGTAGCAAGAAGGTTGCTGGTTTGAGCCTCGGTTGGGTCAGTTGTCATTTCTGTGTGGAGTCGCATGTTCTCCCCGTGTTCACATGGGTTTTCTTTGGATGCACCGGTTTCCCCCACAGTTCAAAGACATGCATAGGTGAATTGGGTAAACTACCATAGTGTATGTAAGTAAATGGGTGTGTGTGTGGGTGTTTCCAAGTGGTGGGTTGTAGCTGAAAGGGCATCCACTGCATAAAACATATGCTGGATAAGTTGGTGGTTCATTCTGCTGTGGCAACTCCAGATTAATAAAGGAACTAAGCCAAAAAGAAAATGAATGAATGAATATATTTTGAAATATATATATATATATATAAATATATATATTTTAGAAAAAAGCCATGCTAATAAATAACAGGTCACCCCAAAATCTAAATTGTTTTATTTCTGTATGATTTTGTTTTAGAACAAAATAAATACGAAATGAGCTGATAGCCAGGTTTTGGTCACCTGCACTCAAAAACTATTTTTTTTCTTGTTCAAACTTCTTGATTATTAAAATGATCTAAAACCACACAATTCTTGAGATTTTTTCTTTGTTTTATGTTCAATCCACTTAAATTTGTAAAAACTAATAAGTTAATTTAATTTCTTTATAACACAAATCGATTGTGTGGAACCCAGTGTGTGTGTGTGTGTGTGTGTGTGTGTGTGTGTGCGCGTGGGTGTGCGTGCGTGCGCGCTCGTATGTTTTTTTTTCACATATCAAGGCACAAACTTGTATAATGACATTGGTATTACAAGGAAAATGTGACTTTTGAGGACATTGCCTATGTTGGCATTTTTCAAAAGGCTTATGAATCATGCAGAATGAGTTTTTAGCATGGAAATATGCACAGTTTTTGTGAAAGTTTAGTTTCGGCATAGAGTTGGGGTCAGGCATGGGCCGGTATAAAATTGTGATGGTATGATAACCTTGGATAAAAATATCACGGTTTCAGGATATTGTGATCGCTGCTCTAAAATATATATTTTTTAAATGTCTGAGTAAAAAAAAAAAATTCTTAGTTAAACACAAAATATTTTATTTTAGGAAACATTTAAAATATTTTGGACCAGTTGCTTTTGATATGGAGGGCCCTTTTTTGCCGGAGTTACTGTTGTCTTAAAAAAACAGAATAAATTAGTCGCAAAATAAACATGTAATAAAACTGTGCATATACTGAATTGTAGATCAGAAAATTCTGACTTCTCCAAACCGCAATAACCCTTGAAACCGGTTATTGTCCCATGCCTTCTTGGGGTAGGGCAATATAAAATATACTTTGTACAGTATAGAATCAATGGAAACCTAAGAAATCCCCCTCACAATTCACAAAAACAAACATTGTGTGTATGTGTGCCTTATATTCCTTCCGTTGTTGGAACCAAATGTCCCCACAAATTTAGAAATCACAGTAAATTTTGACTTTGTGGGGATATTTGCTTTGGCCCTCAAGAAGAAAACGACTCATAAATAACACAGATTGAAGTATTTTGAAAATATAAAAATGCAGATTGTTGGTTGGGTTTAGGCATAGGGAAACAGAATCATTAGGAAAATGATTATGTCTATGGAAAGTCTTAAGTTGCATATTTAATTTGCAATTTTAATTGCATATTTTCATATATTTGCAATAGGTTTTGATCTGAAAGTACATTTTAATATGTTTAATTGTAAAGATGATTCAATTTCTGAGCTGCTAAAAGGACCCTGGTATTTCTATAAGTCTTTTTTTTATTGAGTTTTGTTTTATAGAATTTACTCAAATTTTTGACATGTTTGACAACATTAGTGATTTGTAAAGAAAACATTTCAGAATTGTGTCCCGCACAAGAATAGCCAAACCTCTACAGCATATTGGTGTTTTAAGTGAAGGTCTTCCATAGGCTGGAGCTCAGCAGAAAGTAATTGTTACCATTGCCAGATTTGTTCTAAAACTGGCATATATTAGAAAGCTCTGGCCGAGCAGTGACTCACTGTGGTTGGCAAACATCTGGATCTGCAACACTAACAGTTCTGTAAAGCAGAAATAGAAGTGAGTTGTTCCATTCAGAACAGTCATACAGTAGATGAGTTTGAGAGTTTGTAGTTTTTAGGACGCACATTTGACTTCATTTCATTTATCTGTATTTCTGTGTTCAATCAATCTTTTCCATTGTTTCCCAATGTGTGTGTCTTTTTGATACAATCTTTTTGCCTGAAGCACATGCATGTTTGTATGCAGTAGACACGTTTTAGGATTTCTTTCCAGATTTGGTTTGATAGATGAGTCAAGTTTCTGTTTTAAATTTGCTGCTGCCAAGGCAACACTGAAAATAAACAGTTCATTGTAATCCTGGCTACTATTTGCATCTTTTGAAGTTCATTTGTGCACTTTTGAGAGGGAGAGTGTTTCTGTAATCCGTCAAGGGAATATACAATAACATATTACTGGTAAAAATTTACAATAAAGATCGTTAACAATAGTTGAAAGGGATAGTTTACCAGAAAATGATCATTAAAAATCTGTTGAGTTCAACAGTAGATCTGCTGAACACAAAAGAAAATATTTAGTTTCATTCAGAAGTGGTTTCTATCAATTAATGAAGGTACATTGCTAAACTGAAGCCTTTTCTGTCTTCTAAGGATTTGAAAACCATCACTAACAGCTTTATTATGTCCAGATTGTACTATTGAAATTCTCTGTATTCAGGAGTTTCACATGCTTCAATTGTATGCCTGCAGCCGGTTCAAAATGCAGCCGCTAGGCTTTTGAATGGGACTTAAAAAATTGCTAGTATTTCCCAATTTTTATCATCTCTTGACTGGCTTCCATGCAGTCGAATTTTGGATTTAGCACAAGTTTTATTTGATTTTAAAGGTTTGAATGGTCCTCATCTGTGGAATGGTTTGCCTTTACATATCAGGTCTGGCTCTTCCCTTGGTGCTTTTGAATCTCATTTTAAAAGTCATGTTTTGTCTCTTGCATTTGGTGGTAATTAATGTTATCTTGTTTACATATACAGTTATAGATTTTTTTCTGTGGGTTGTTGTTGATTTGTTTAAAATTTGTTGTTTTTAATAAAGCAAACCAACAAACAAACAAACAAACATTATTTTGTTTCCAATTGAACCACTCAAGTAGGGGTGCAACAGTTTTCTGTAAAAAAAATTGAGTCGTCCCATAAACCTCTCATGGTTCGGCGCACCCATGTGATCTGCGATTATTGGCTTGGCGATTAAAAAAAGAACTGCAACAATGCAAAAAAGTTGAGCCCTTTGTTCGATTTCTATTACCTTTCACACGCAATGACCCGTCCAATCACCTATTGGTATGTAAACTTGTTATTGACATCACATTTCTTCATGTGTCGGTGCGCTGAGTTCAGATTGGCAAGTGAAAAATAATCTAGTATATAAAAAGCAGGTCTTTAGTTAAAGTGTTTTGATTGATTTTTATAGGTGGAAATAAATTGTTTATGTTTTTAATTTTACGAGGAAGCCTGTTGAATTGTCAGGTGTTTGTTACCCAGTGAATAGGTATATTGTTCTGTAAATTTATCTGCAGCCATTTTTTAAATAAAAATAGGTAAGGTATGTGTTATGTGTAGATAAAAAATGGCTACAGATAAATTCAAATTCATACCGTACCATATCCATGACCCTAAAACTGTAATACAGAACAAGGATGTTTTTTTTTGTACCCTTCTGCACTTTGAAAAAGCTAGGAACCTTGCTGTCTACTGAGAATACGAGAGCTCACAGATGTCATCTAAAATATCCTATTTTGAGTTTTTGAAGACAAAGTTCTCGAAGGGATTTTACTCGCATTCATGCCATTCTAATCCTCTGAGATGTTTGTTTCCTTTTCATATTTTAGATGAAATCTGAAAGATCTCTGACCCGCCATAGACGGCAACAGTAACAAAACATTCAAAAGGAAACAGAAACATTGTCAAACATTCTATGATACATCAGTGGTACAACTGTCAGTGTTTGACAGTGTTTTAGTTCTCTTTTTTGAACATCTAACGGCCCTTGTTGTACAAGGAGGATGAGAGAGCTCTCGCAATAAATTCAATTCAATTTTATTTCTATTTGCAATGTAGATTTTGTCAAAGCAGCTTAACATAGAAGATCTAGTAAAGTCTACACTTTAGAGTTGAAGTTCAGTTTACTTCAGTTTGGTTTAAATTTCATTGCTGAAGGTTCAAACACTGAAGAGCAAATCCCTCTGTAACAGTGATGTGACACTGACTATAGGGGTGAGGATCCAAACACAAGGTTTATTATACTGAGGTGGTTAGGTAAGCAATAGTCAACACAGGGGCAAATCAATGTACACAGTCAATCCAGAATCATATTCAATAAGCAGGCAGATGGTCAAAAGGCAGGCAACGTACTGGAATAAACAAACAAAACAAACAAAACAAAGATCGGTACACAGCAAGACTAGGCAAGGGAAACGTGTAATGTTGACATTACAGTTTAACAAGACTCAGCAACAATGTGTGTGTTTGTGTTGTTTTTTATAGTCCTTGTAATCAGTCTTTGAGCAGCATCAACTGTGTGAGTCTAATCAGTCAGGATCAGGAACCGGTTGTGTGGTGCATGATTGGATATTGTATTCCATGAAATGGCGGATTTGTAGTCCTTCGGCGAGCTGCAGTGAAGGAAAAGTGAAGGAAAAAAAAAACTTCAGAGAAACCAGGCTAAATCTAAAATATGAAGATGAACGAAGGTCTCAGAGATTACAACTATCTGAGGGTAATTAAAAACAGAATTTTCATTTCTGGGTGAACTAATCCTTTAAGTAAATGTGTACACATGTATGAGTTGTGTGACCTGATTTATTTGCTTTATTTGGATGCCACTGTCAGTGTGTTTTCATCAGAGGTGTCTATCACAGACCTCTTCATGCCTGATATCTGCACAGTTTGATGAATTGGGAAAAGTGCTGGAGGGTGGGTGACTTTAACCCCTCTTTTTTTGTGAAAAGCTCTTTGTCTTGAGCAGCTCTGCATGTTCCTATAAGCACACAGACTCATGCTGGAGGAATGTGCAGAGAAAGGTTGGGAAACGACCCAGTGAGCGAAATAAAACAGAATACATCACTCCCTCGCTTAGTTTATATCATACAGTGCTATTTGTATCACTAGACATATCTGCCAGACAAAGTGATCCTTCGATAAGTTGCGATTTAATGAAGCTTTCTATTTAAACCAGAGAAACCAGTTTGAGTTGAAGTTGTTTTCATTGAGGGGAATTACTAAAAATCTGATTCATCAGCACCTGCTTTCATCATCATAATAAAAGGGAGGCTTAAAAACTGGAAGCTGTTGTCTTAAACCCCAGAGGAAGACAGATGATATTGTTTATGCTGTTTACAGTCTTTAAAGAGCGATGAGAAAACAGCTTTATTCACTTGTACGATGCACCTTTTCATTGTAGGGCGTATCAAATTTGGTAATACTTTATTAAAAAACCATGTGTAGACATTTTACTTGCACTTATTCTAAATTAAGCATAATTACACATGCAATAACTCGAATCTTGACCATAATTTGTGTTCCTTTAGGATCACTAAGTAACAATCGTAGTTATCATTTTGTTGTATATTATTTCAATTTAAGTTAAATCATTATATATATATATATATATATATATATATATATATATATATATATATATATATATATATTTTTTTTTTTTTTTTTTTTTTAAGTTAATATCTATTAGTTTTTTTTTTAATCTATAAAATGTATAAATGTTTATATGTATTTTGTAAAAGCCATTGGTAGACATTTTATTTCCACTTAATGAATCTTGAATCTTGACCATAATTAATGTTACTTAAAGATCACTAAATAACAATTATAGATATTATTTTGTTGTATATTTTGTATAATTTATTCATTTAAGTTAATTTGTTTTTATTTACAGGAATGTAGTTGTTTTTTGTGATTGTCATTTGTTTTTTTTAAGGTAATATGGAGTAGTTTTTCCTTTTAGTTTTATTTTTTTATTTTAAGTTAAGCTAAATAAAATGTATAGGTGTTTCATTGGTAACTGTGTGAAATAAAATTATGCAAATAAATTAAAAACCTATGATGAAAATTATCTTTTGTCGCTGTTTAAACAGAACTGTGTGCAGGTATAGTGTGTCCACAGTAATATTGGGTGGATATAAACACAATAAGTCTCTTTTTTTTTATTTTCTGACGTTAAAACAGAATCTAAATCCCTCCTATTTTGAGGCCCACCAAAACATGACGTAGGACTGTGGTTTCCTTGCCCACTGAATTGATTGACGGCTGTGTATTATTATGTCTCTATAGTAACGCATATCACTGAGACAGGACATGCGCAAAGCAACCGGGATTAAAAGATCTGTTCAACTCTCTGTGATCATCAATCATCATCAAATGTGATCAAGAATGACTTTTACAAGTTTAAGGCGTTTTTAAAACAGTGCATGTTTGTAATGAATTACAGTGATTTTACCGTCTTTATCACCATAGCCCGGTTTCAATCCTGGTTTGTGGATGTTAAATCAGGTTTATTTTGTACAGATATCCATACAGCAGTGGATATTATGTGTATCCAGTCATATTCGTGTGCAAAAACAGTGCAAATTTAAACGCGCGCTGTTTTGTGTGTGTGTGTATGTGTGTGTGTGTCTGTGTGTGTATGTGTGTGTGTGTGTGTGTGTGTGTGTGTGTGTGTGTGTGTGTGTGTGTGTGTGTGCGCGTGCGGGCGCACGTTAACTTTGTAACGACATTGTGTGTGACTCATCCTTCCAGAAAGGCTTGAATTAACTCTACAACAAATACATTAAGTAATCATTGGGAAAGTTCTTACTGTAGTATTTTTCTCAAACATTACGTGAGATCGGCTTCCTTCAAGTCTGTCACTGTGCTGATTATCTGATGCAGCCGAGGCACAGATTGAGGCACACTCTGAAAGGCCCGTGAAAACGATGGGCGGGGAGAACTACCATTAAAGGTACAGGTCGCAAAAACACATTGTGTTCAGAGCAGAAAATTTAAACATTCTGAAAGGTATTATAAATAATCTGATGGGTGTTTTGAGCTGAAACTCTACAGACACATTCTGGAGAGTGTAAAAGATATCGTTATCTATATCTTCTTTCAGTGAGTAGAAAAGGTGATTCTATATTTTATGGTAGTAGTTTAAATAAAAAACTATCTAAGATGCGGTGTTGTTATTTATGCAAAAATAAATTGTAAAGCATTCTGCTTTTATTTTAATATTACCTGTACAAGCAAGGAGATTTATAGCTCTTCTTGTTGCAATTGAATCCCTATTGATAAAAGTTAATTTTGCTACCAATACTTTAATCTTGTAATTTCACCCCTTGTCCTGCATATTTGTGTCTTATCTTTATGTGAATATCAGGTTTCTGAAAGACACACTTGCACAGGCTGTCACATATAACTAGTCTGTCGTAATTCAAGTTACACACTCTCTGACAGATGTTTAAACCAGCCCAAACACATCTCTAAAATCTAGCTGAATAAAGCCCTTGTTGTTAAGAGACATCAACTGTGTTCGTGCTCTTGGGGGGTCCATCTGAAAAGCAAACAGTGTAAAATGTTATTTAATCAAAAGTGTTCCAACATACGGCAGCTTATAAAGTAAAAGTAGTTGTGAAAATAGTGATATTTCCCTTGCAGCTTCACTTGATTCCAATCATGCTTTGGCTACTGCTGTTTATGTTCAGCAGGTGAAATAACTGCAAATAAATGTAGTTATTCAGTGCAAAGGTATGGAGATAATTACAGTAATTTAACTTCATCTACAATAATAAATTGGCTGTCTGCAATCCGTGAAGGTGACAAATCCAACATGTCAGTCCTGATCTGTAAATACCTCACAAACTTCACTCACTAATGAATCACTGATTGAAAGACGTGCAAGGAATTACATTTAAAAAAAAAAACAATCTTTTTTTAGGTCTATTTTGTATGATAACTATAAGTATTCAGTTTTAAGATATAATATGCATTTTATTTATTGATTTCAGTTTATGTTTCGTCTAATAATGAAACCACTGGGAAGGTAACACTTCGAATAGTTAACCCTGGGTAATTATAAAATCTGTGTAAAGGTCTTGTTTTATGTTCATATTTCACACTGCTCATACTTTACCTGGGATTAATGATTAATTTCAGGCTATTCATATGCAGCTTAACCTCATTATTTTCATATTTGAGGTGTTTTCATCATCATTTATTATTATTATTAAATAAACTCTACAATGTATTTTTGTTATGGACATTGCAAGTTGGAAATACGATGGATCGACATAATATCTTAAAGTGATGAAGCAATCAATACACCATCAATATAATCAATCAATACACCTAATTAAATCAATAGCTGTCATAATGCTTAATGTAAATGCCAAGATGTGCATAAATATTGAAAATGCACATGCAAATTTTATGCTCACAATTGAGTATGAGATGTGATATTCCACTTTAGTGCATAAATCTTATTCGCATCAAATTCGCAACAAAGCAATTTGAATAGTTTTACAGAATTTGTGAGGTATTGGCAAATAGTCTATCACTGATTTACATTGTATGACAGCATGATTATCAAACCATATTATGAAGAGATGTGCAGTTTACAATGATAACCTGGGGTTAAAAGCAGTGTTAATACTGCTTTATGGCTCTTTTTCTACAGTTTGGTATTTCTAACTTTTGGCGAGTTTTCCATAGTGGGGCCTATGCATGTTTACCAAAATGTGACATATAAACACTGCAGATAATGTTTGGAAAGAGAGAATCATTAAGATACTTACATAGTTTGATTTACCACATGAAACCTTAAACCTGATTTAAATAAATAGCACCAGCCGCTGTATTTTTTTACTGACTGTTGCATGCAATATAACACGGCTGTATTGTGATCAGTAGAGAAGGTACAGACACTCTTTACATTGTGAAACGTCTGTCTGAGTATTTATTATCTGCATAGATAGAGATGAAGTGTGAGAGGTGAGAAGAACAGTCTGGAGGCACTTAACTGTTAGACCACAATCCGTGATAAGGGGTAGAATGTTGATGAAAGGAAATACAAAATCTTAGTACGTAAAGTAAATTTAGAGAGCATCCATCACTTATCTGCACATGCTCTCTTTCTAGTAGTGCATGTGCATTCACAAACAAGTGAAGGCTATAAAGCTGGATGAAAAATCAAATCACAAACACAATTGATCAAACCTGAGATTATTATGCACATCTTGTCAGGGAAGCACTGTTGTGTGTTCTGCGCTTTCACATGGAAACTGTCCATACCGTTTAGAATAGCATCAAAAACATTTTTGCGTAGCTTGTCAGTTGACTACAACTTTCTATAAGTGTTGCGCCATCTGAAAGCATGTGTTCGGGTTATGATAGAACAGGCTTTAATGAAAAAATGCACATGAAAATCACCTTCAATTAATCATCCAGCCATAGGCTCATCATCAGACAGAGCAGCCAACCGAATTTTAGTCTGGCTCCATTCGGACTCCATCTCCCATATTTCTTGGGACTGATTTCATGTGTACCTGAAACTAATATGCTCATATGTTTAAACCTCTCCATCACTCAGTTCTTTGTGAAGTCTTGATTTGCCCTGGAGTTGTTT